TCAAAAAACATGGGAGTAGAAGGATGGATCACTAAAGGAATGAGCTAGAAGAATTGTGGAAACTTACGTTTGATATTGCCGAGATAGAGCATAGTTTTTAACACTTTTGGAAGTCTTTTCCAAGTCTGTTTGCCTCAAAATAATATGGCTCAAGAGCAGCCATAACCCAGAGTGGTAGTTAAAATGCTTTTCAGAAGCCATTTGGACAAAATCTCTTGGATGGAATGACGCAACAGAGGTGCAGCCTGGCTGCTGAGTGCTGTTCAAAATGGCAGCCTTTATGTCAAATTTTGGGCTTCCTTGAAGACGAATTTCATAAGGAAAACCTGCACTTTAGAGGCTGAAACTTCTGTAAATGGCTAAACTTAGTGCGAGGTTTTTATTAGCGTTGACAAAAAATATATGTTTATTTACAGCTTTTGGAGTGACCGTTGCCTTAAACCATTTTAAAACAAGAAACAACAAGAGACTTCATTTTGTAGTCCAATGAATTTTTATTGACATGCTGAACAAAAACACTGCTGTTGTGGCCACAGTGTTAAGAAAGTGAATATAATTTGGCAAATTGATAATTGAGTAACTGCTAAATTGAAGATTCGTTATCAAAATATGTTAAGGACTGATTGGTTTTAGCAGTGGTTGTTACAGTTGACAATGAGAATAGAGTTATTGGGTAACTAATATTATTACTCTCTGAAAAGCTGTTTTACAAATTCTATGGCTTGCCTGTAATTTATTTTGAAGAATTCTTTGTTTATGTTTATTGACATTATTATTCACATTCTTCTCTGAGGTGTTATCCACTTTCAACAAATTTATGTAGAATGCATGTTGTTGGTTGCGATGTCTGTTAGTTTTCATTTGACCTCTGTTTGGTTATGCATGTCTGTGGTATTTGTAGTTACTGTACAGTGGCCCATTGGTACAGATATGACTTCACCATTCAGTTATTTATTAACACTTATCCCTTCAGCATGAGTTTGAAAACAATACATTTTGCAAGGTACCCAAATCTGTTAAGTACTTGGAAAATATGACGACTGGCAATGAAAAAGTTTGGACTATTTTGGTTTGTGCAATCTGTGCAAGTGTTAAAATGAAATGTTGATGAAGTAAAACAAAAATAGTAGTAACTGCACTTTGGTATTCAAAAGTTCTACAGGGCAGGGGGACGAGTGTTTTCAAGTTCCAAAATGTCAATTGTTTATCCACTCAACTAAAGAGGTTAGTTTCGATTTCTACTGAATTCCAAATACTTTGACGATACAGCTTTATCAAAACGAATTATTGATCAGTAGAAAATGAAAATGGTGATTCCATTTTGCTATTCAGTGGTTTTATCCCTGGATTCTTTATGGAGTTGAAAACGTTACGAGTTTTCAAAAAGATTTAATTTTGATTTCTGCCAAACTCTCATTACTTTGA